AAGATTGTATTGTATACAAAGGCTCTTCCAGATGTCAGTATTCCGAACCATGTCGAGACGCGTAAGGAAAGCGACTCGTCTAAGAAAGCCCATTTCAGCCGTTTGTACGCGAGTTCGAAGCTTTCAGATATGGTCCACGAGTCACGACTGTAGGTAAGCATCGGGATAAAGATCAATTGAAATAACGATAGCTTAGTTTTCAGACTGAGCTCTGCTTTAGTCACAGTGGGTCGGGCTAGTTCACGCAGAACGCAACTGGCTACCCCAATTCGGCGGTCGATCTCTTCCTCCAATTTTCCATCACTAGTAAATACAATTCCGAGGTACTTGAACTTCTCCACCTGCTCCACTGCCTCTTCGTTAATCTGAAGAAAGCAACGGACAGGAGAACGAGAATACTCGAGACTTTCCGCTTTAGATGCGTTCACACGCATGCCGGTCACGTCGCACTCGGCTGCGAACCTTTTCAGGGAGCACCATAGACGGTTTCAGAAGATGCCAATAAAACAAGGTTGCCTGCAAACAGCAAACTTCTCGTCTTCACGTTTCCTACACTGATACACTCATCGCCTTGGCAGCTCCTGATTATTCTATCCATGTACAACATGTACGACAGGAGAAAGGACAGGACGCAGCCTTGCTGGAGACCAGTGCGAACGCTGAATGGTTTCGACTTCACGCCATTTATTCTGATGCAGATCCTGCCACTCTGCTCTTCTTGGATCTTGAGGTCAACTATTCCGCGGCATCTCGTTTCTAACACATTTGAGTAGATTTCACCTGGAAGGCTCGATAACGTAATGCTGCTATAACTGGAACAATCCTTGTGGTCTCCATTCTTGAATAGGGGGTTCTCCCGTCCGCTGGTGTTTTTCCAGCAGTCATCACAGTTGGACAGACACGTGTTAAGCCAGCAGATGCCTTGTTCGCCTAATTCTCTGATCATTTCAGGGCGATGATCCTAATATACAATACTAATTAATCATTATAAAAGCCACTTTGAAGATGCTCATTCAGAATGTTAGCAATTAAGATGATTCACTGCTTGTGCAGTACATTCTATTACGCAGATAGTTCGAAACTCACCCTGGTTCTCCTACAGTCTTGGCGGTCTTAACTGTTTTTTTGGGCGTCTTCGTTGCCTTGACAGCCAAACCGCGTTGTAGGTCACTTCCATAAACCGGTAAATCTATCGTAGAACAATATCAACATTTAAGCACGTAAGAAATTATTTATTTTTAACTAATTGACGCCAAAGGTATGCTTCGGCCGTAAGTATTGACGGTGCGAACGAAGGCGAGAGCTTTCATGGCATGGGTGATTTTCGTGAGAACCATTTTCTAAATGAAATCTAATTTTACATAAATAAAGCCGAAACTAATTTTGGTTCATGCGAAAATTTATGGTTTGGTTCGTTCAAC